GACACAACTCTCCTTCAAGTTGAGCCAATGCACTTGTAGCTTTCTCGAGCGCTGCTGAAGTCTGGGCGTACTCCTCGAGATGATGGGTATCAAATCTTGCCTTGGCCACTGCACCCAGCCTGGCATGAACCCATCTCAGATCAAACCCAAAGCACCCCTCCATATCTCGAACGTCCTTCTGAATGTCTTCAAAGACATCAGCTGGTACCTCCCCCATTACATAAGCAAAAAGTTTGAAGATTCTTGGGAAAAGCATGTCTACCGCGTATCCTCGAAGTTCTCTTCTCTGGGGTTGGCAAAAGTTTAAGGGTAAGCTGTCCAGATGGATTCCATAAGGATGGACGTGGTGCGTTGAACACTAAGGCCTCTCCACTCGACGTAATCAGGATTTAGACTCAAACAAACCCAACTAAGCCCTGAGGACACCTTCTGCTCGGAGGGCACAATCCAGCATTTCTTACAAAGTCTTACAACGGATGTGAGCTTAACAACCCTCGTGCCATGCCCAAGCCCTTACCTTCGCCCTATACCGAAAGATATTAGTTCATTGATCAACTACCACTTGATCCCCTAGGTAAAGGAATTTCTCTAAGGTGCCAAAGAGTCCCCTCCTAATAAGTAGGGCTTTGCTGGTCTTGCAAGCATTCGTCTACGTTTGCTCGCAAAACTGCTAAGGTTAAGATAGCCAATCCCGTTTTGTTTCGGCAGAAACGAAGAAATTTCGAACAGTGTATTATAGTCGACGGGCCTCTAGCGACGATCGGACCCAGATAATCAATGTATTCATCGTGCCCCCCCTGGTTCGGTGAAAGAATTTAGATTTCCCGATGAGGTAGCCTGCTGGGACTTTGCTATAAAAGGGATTAGCGGCTTAATGCATGGATTTGAGCTGTGAAAGGCCTTGTAAGTGCCTTGCTCATGCCTTCCCGCCTTACTATGTCAAAGAGCAAAAAATGCACTCAATGAAGGCCACGATCGATAGTAGGGGTTTCTCTCTCAATTAACAAGCCCAGGGATCACAGACGAGATCTAACCTAGTGGTTTCGCTTTAATTCATTAACTATACGAAGATCTTATTTCTTACCTACTAGATCGATTGAAAGAAGCCTTCGGGTTACAGTCAACTCATAAAATACTCTCCTAAGGAGATATTCTTTCTATCCATAAACAGAAAGGGGGAGAGATTCCTGCTTGCCTACTTCGCGGATCGAAGGGAGAAGACCTATTCAAAAAAAAAACAGACAAGAGAAGAGATCAAGATGACTACCAAATTCATACCAGAATCCTTGATTGTACTAGCTTAAAATCAAGACCACAATGAGAGACATTCGATCCCAGAATTAGCTCTATCCCACCTCCAATGAGATGTTTTAAGCATATGGGTTAGTGGCAGTTGAATGAAACTAGAAAGAGTGGCAGTTAGATCCTTGAAGGGAAAGGACTTGGCTTCATCTCCCACACCGGTTAGCAACCGAGATAAGAGTGAAACTAAAGCGGGAAGGAGATGAGGATCCGGATTCTATATTCCATTTTTTTCTTTTTAGTTTGAGTGAACACCCGGTAGCCAATCGATCAGGACTAGGAGCTGCACCAAGACGGATTAGTTCGCCTTCGGGTTCTTAAGAAGAAAAAGAAGATCCCGGAGTTCTCTTTCTAGGTTGAGGAGATTGCTTTTACTTTCTTGTTAAACCTACCCGAAAGAGAGTGAGTGGTGGATTCAGAGAAAAGCTATTCTTCTTAGCAGTTTCACAAGTGAATGGAATGATTCTTCCCCCGAGGGTGACTTCACTACCTGGATCCTCATCTCTTGAACTCGTTCTGGCAGCTAGTTTAATGGCACCGGCATCTCATCTAGTCTAGATCGATTCCCTAAGAGCTTCTTCTCTAGCAGGCGATTTGGCCCATTTTATCTTTCCTGGTAATAAGGAAAGGCCTTTCCCTATCACGACCGCCTTCCTTTATTCGGAATTCATTCGTCTCAAAAGAAAGAGCTAGCGAACCACACCAATTCCATTCCAATTATCTCTGACAGAGCAGGATAGCTGCCATCAACCCTTTAGAGCGAGGGCCCTCCGAGACCAATGCAGAAGGAATAAGAGCCTTTATGCCTTGAGCCTTGAGCGAAATCATTGACCTTGCGCCTGGTTTGATTAGGACATTGCCGCATTTCATCTCAAAGAGGATCTAACTCTTTCTTTCCGGCTTAGCCGAACTACTTGGCTCGGATCAATTCACTCTTTCTTTATCGCAAGCAAATAGCCAAAGAGCTGATGAAAGAGCACCGTCTTCTCTTATTCCTGAAAACATCTTCAGAGCAGTTATTACAAAAAGACTAGCATCTCTAACAGGAAAAGCAAGCAAAGACCTCCCCTTTGGTTTGGTGGCCTCCTTCCTTGATAAGAGTGAAAGCAGAATCAGAATCAGACTCTTGGACGTGGGATCTTGCCTAAATAAATTTCCATTGAGCGGGGTAAGTCTAAAAAAGCATTTCACCGGCACT